GTGCTAACGGCCCCCGACGGGGTGCTCGGGGCCGCGCCGCTGGCCGCGGCCGGCCCGACACTCACCGTGGCTCGCGGGAGCGCCCGCGTCCGCGCCCCCACTCGGATCCCGCGGCGGCGGCGGCGGTGAGTCCGGCGCGGGTAAACAGGCACCTCCGTCCCTGACCTACTTTCTGCCTTCCCTAAATGTCGCACCACTAACCTACTTTCCGACCAATCCGCTCCCCGCCGGCCCAGGCCCGGCCCCCCGCCCACCAATCGCTGTGCCCAACCCCCCTTCCCCGCCCACCAATGGAGGAGCCGCGGAGCCCGGATACCTGCCTCTTTCCGCCAGCCAATCCGAGCGCCCGAAGGGAGCCGGTCTCGGCGGTCGCGCCCGACCAATCCGCGCGCCGCTCGGCGGCCCGCTGGCCAGTTGTGTGGCGGCTAGAGAGGCCTCTGACCAATGGCGGGGCGGTGGGGGCTGGTTTACCTGCTACTTTCCCGCCACCAATCGTTTGGCGCACAGAAGCACACGCCCCGAGGAGCGGACCAATCCGCGCGCTTTCCCTGGATTTCCTCGCCCCTGCCCTTTCCCTTCCCTTTAGGTCTCCTGCTCGCGGTGGCCACTGCGGGTGCAGACGCCGCACTGCTTGCGGTGGCCTGGGCTGTCCCTCTTCTGTAGGACCCTGGCTTGCTTCTGGCTCAGCGGTTTCACCCCTCCTCCTTCTCTTCTTCCCTCGGACACCCGGACGAAATGCAGCGTTTCCTCACTCGCCTCCCTGCGACTCCATCTAGGAAACCAATTTTAGGAACGCAGAGTGCCAGACCCTTCCTAAAACACCCTGGCTTGCCAAAGTCCAAACGGGAGAACGAATACTTACTATTTCTAGGAGGCTTTCCCATCCAAGCTTCTTAGGTTCCTTTCGTTCGTCCTGACCTCCAAGTGTCCCGTTCGAGCTGTCATTCTCGTTGTTCAAAAGAGGAAACAAGCCCGCGGCGGTTCCATTGCATTTCCTTCCCGCTGCCGGGTTTTGACCACCTACTGTGTGGCAGGCACCGTCCCGGCGGCCGCCTTCTCCACCGCGAAAAGCTGTCGAGGGAGTGGGACAGAAGGAAACAAATCAATATTTCATAATAAAACACAACTTAGGTACTGAGATGACAGCGAATCTGTCTTACTTTTGCATCTCAAGCACTCAGCAGAGGGCCTTTAAGCACAAAGATCTCTCAACCCTTCTGCTTGTTAAACTCCCCGAATGCAAGGGTGGTGTTTTGTTTTTGTTTTTGTTTTTGTTTTTTCTTATACTCACCCGCCTCCTTTGAGCACCTAATGGGAGTGAGGTAGAGAGAGGGATGGGGGCAGGGGCCTGACATCTAGCAAGTGATTGACAAATGTTGTTAACTGGATACACGAACAAATGGGATTAAATCACTTCAGCCAGTTCTATGACCCAGACTAGCCCCTATGACTCTAGAATTGTAGCCTCTTTCCTTGAACACAAACATTGCATTTTAATCATCGTAAAATCCTTGCTGTCTCCAGCTCACTGCCAGGCACAGAGTGGTTGTCCAATATGCACTTATGGCCTGAATATCAACTGTTCTCAAGGTCAACTAACTTCATTGGTAGCTTACTATTTTTTTCTAAATTTATATGCAGGTGGAATCTTACTGCTGTTTACTTTGTCCCTGCCCTGATTTCATAAGGAAACCACTTTATGTAAGTGGCGTTTTAGTAATGCACTTCCCAAGATATTGTGGACAAGATAAAGAAATATAGGCCTGGATTCTAGTGTAATTAACTGGGTGAATAACTGGCTTAAGCAACCATAACCTAAAGATGCTGATAAGTGAATTTGTGTCAACCTGAAAAAAGAATAGAGTGGATCAATATTTGTGCAGCATCAATCATGTGATAAATGCATTCCCTGCATCTTCTCCCTTAATCCTCACAACCCCATTTTACAGATGAGAAGACGGAAACTCCAAGTTTAACCCGCTAGTCCAATGTCATGCAGTAGATGGCAGATTCCCAATTCAAACCAGGTTTATTTGACTTCAGAACCTTCACACCATACCAGTTACCATCAGAATAGCAGAAGGCTCTCTCCAGGGCCCAGACTTCCAAACTTCCATCAGTGCTTTGAATGAAAACCCAGAGGATTTGCATCACATTTCTGAATGATGCCAAACCAGGAGGGGAAGAGATGCCATTACATACATAAGCTGAATGCAGTGTCGGAACAGTGGGCTAGCTCTTACGGGGATAAATGTGGGGGGGTCTCACCCTGGGAAACTAACTGCTGAAAGGCAAAGGTATCTTGACGGATGCATATACAAGCAAGCCTAAATGGGCTTAGGTGACAGACAACTCAAATCTGAGTCCTTAGTGAAATATGGCTGCCAAAATAAATGAATGCTGTCTTAGGCAGCATTGATAAAAGTCTGATGTGTAAAGCAAGTTGGGTGTTACAGTGCTGCCCAGTGTTGCTCATTACACAATGTCTCCAATTAGGGCTTGGCAAGAAAAGTATCTACATGCACAAGGAGAGGGACCAGGATATAAAGAGGCTGGGAATTATGCCATATGAGGAAAGATGAAAGGAATCAGAAGGCTTTGCCCCCAGGGGTACAAGGTAACTATCTTCATGTATTAGAAGGGCTGTCAAAGAGAAGAGTATTAGACTCATTCTTCAGAGCCCTAAGGGGTGGAAGGAGGACCTGTGGGTAGAACCTCTCAAATGAACCAATATGAAGAGTTTTCTAACAACTAGAACCTCTTCTTCCTTGATAAGTTGAATTTCCTGTCACAGAAATTTCTAAATAAGAATTGGATGGCCAGGGGTAGGAGCGGTCCCAGGACAGGTCGTCCTTTTAGGACTCTGTCTCTCTAAGATGAAGTGCTTCTACCCTCATACCTTGGTTCTCCTCTTTAAAAGTTTGTCACCTTGACTTTTCCTATGCTCAGTGGCCAAGCTACTGTTTCTCCTCACATGAATGAGCCTGTTCTTCCATAGGTAATTATACATTGTGTTTCTGTCTGTTGGCCATCCCAACCAACCTCCATCTTTCACTGGTACCTACTTCCCTTTTGTTTTGTCCCTCCTAGAATACTGGTTTTTAATTCTCTGGGCACTGTTAAGTCTTGTCCTCATCTAAAATTCACTGGGGATGAACAGAATCACAGAGATACAAGGAAGGGGAAAGAGAACTTTACTGAGCACCTACTGTGTATCAGATGCTTTAAATACATGATCTAATACGCTATTCTTTTTAACCTTGCCGATTGATATGCTCACTCTCCACACTTGCAAGGTGAATGATTTTATCAAGCAATGTAACCTCCTTTTACCCCAGTTTCCTCATCTGTAATATGGGGATAATCTAATATCTACTTCACAAGATTGCTGTGGAAGTTAAATGAGACAGTAGAAAGAAGGCCCTTAGCACAGTTCCTGGCACACAGTAAAGCTACAATACATACTAGGTTAGCAATTCTATGCAATAGGTATTTACTGCACCCACTTTACAGAGAAAGTCAGTGAGGATAAAAGAGTATAATCCACAGTAGTTCCCCAAACTCTGATCCGTGGTCAGGTCCATTAGAATTAACTGAGGAGTTGCGTTTATTCTGTTCGTTTGGGTTTTTTGTTTGTTTGTTTGTTTGTTTGTTTGTTTGTTTTTTTAAATATAGATTCTCAAGTCCTAATTTGGAAGGATTCCGATTCAAACTCTTTGGTATTTGACATGTAGTCCAATTTGGGAACTGCTAGTCTAATGGAATAAGTCCAGGCCCCAAAGTCAAACACACGTGAAGTCAAATTTCAGGACTGCTGGACTGAATGGAGGAGCCAATGACAGGACCGGGCAGTTGTATTCTCTTTGGAAGGAAGCTGGGAAGCTGGAAAGCAGAAAGTCAAGTAGCAGTGTGTTCCTATAAATAATAGTAATTACAATAATATTTATTGCCGGTTTACAACGTGTCAAGCACTATTTCTAAGCGCTTTATATGCATCAACTCATTCAATTCTCACAACCCCCTACAAGGTAGATACTTTTAGTATTCCCATTTTACAGGTGGGAAAATAGAAACACAGAGAGAGGTCTTAAGATCTCAGGCTAATTAGGCAATCTGAACCCAGAACTCACACTCTTAACTGCTTCAGGAAATCCCCTCTTCCTTTGGACAATTCCTTTGGAAAACAAAGAAACTTCACACTTTAGAGACACAGATTCAGGAATCATCAACTTAAGGGTAATGAGTTGTTTGCGGTTTCATGTAGAGAAAAGGTAATTACCCAGGACTATGTCTTAGGGCTAAGGGTGTCACCTCACATTTAGGGGATGCAAGAAATAGAAGCCTCTTCACCTAACTTAAGCCCAAAGGGGGAGGTTTATTGGGAGCAGACAAGAATATCTCATAGGAAGAAGTACAGCTAGCCGCGCCCCCACCCCCACCCCCCACAAAGGACCAGAGCTGCGGCACCATTGGCACAGAGCACTTCCCATCTCCTCCTCTCTCTGAGGTCACATGTCCCCTGGACTTGCCTTCCCTCTGCTTATGTGCCTTATGATTCTTTCTCTGTAGCTCATCACCCTCCGCCCCATTTGTACATGGCCCCTGATGAACGCTTTCAGCCACGGGGAGAGAGAGAACAGGAGAGGTTCAGACAGATCGTTCTCAAAGCTGGGGGTATGGACTGAGCAAGATCCCCCAAAGGTGCTACTGAAGCGAAAGAAGAATGAGAACAGGAGAAAATACAGAGTAGGAACAGCAAAAGAAGTGAGCAGTGAATAGCTGCGTTTGGGAGACTTCAGAAGAAAGCCTCAGCAGGCAGGTTGAGAAGGTCACAGAAACTTACACGTGAGGCAAAGGTTTTGGTTGGAACACCAAAGAGACTGTTTCACTAACACTGCGTCTACAGCCACATCTGCCACAGGAAATTAGGGAAATCACAGACGGAAATGCGTGAAGGTGACATGGTGCCCAAGAGGACTGACAATTTTGTGAAGACGTTGGTTATTTAAGGGGATATTAGAAAAAGAGTTGTGACCATCTCTCAGCAGCCAACCCAACTGAAAGTGGTCTATGTTTATAGGTGTGGGTACGGTTTTATTTTTTTAACCAACGTTGACTGTCTGGACACACAAAAATGGAACCTCTAAACATCGGGCATTCGTGGGCTTACCAGGATTTATACCTCTTTCAGCTGTT